GCAGTAACGCGCTTCGCCACACCACCCACCCCTCTGCGTCCCCCCCGACCCGTCTGCCGCAAGTCTGCCGTGATAGACCGGACTGCACTATGAGGTTCAACGTCTGGCTTGGGGAGGGGGGGGGGGCATCGGGAAGGCGTAAGAGATGTGACTGACCTACTTAGTGTTGAGAGGAGGACGGCGTGGCCAGGCCAGCGCTGCGCATCGCTCCACTAGTTTAATCCTGCCCTGCCATGCCATGCTCTGCCCTGCCCTCCAACCCAGCCCGGGCCAGACGGACGCGTGAGCCCTTTGGATGCTCGTTATCACTCACACACACATACACACACGCACACTCATCACATAGTCAGAACCACCAGCGCTGCAAGAAGGACCGACCCGTGACCCGCGAGCCTAGCCGACGCATCACTACCCTGACAATGCAAACGCGCCTATTTCTTTTCTCGGCCGAGCAACCGAAAAAACACGCGGCAGGTCGAAGTAACGCTAGTCATGACTGGTGACGTCATGGTTGTTGGTTGTGGACTGGGGGGTCGGGGGGAGTGGGCCGCGGTGGCGTGGACGATTCGGTTCGATCGCTATGAAGGCGACACCTGATACCGCCGTATGGCCGGCCAGGCAGCGGCGCGGGGCGGGGACGGCGATGCTTTCGCACCGGATCCTCTCCGTCCAGGGCCAGGCCAGGGGCGCTCGCGCGGGCGCTCGTCACCTCGCTCGTCACACTTGTCCGCCAGCGCGCCACGCGGCTCCCCCAACACGCGTTATCGCGTCGAGCCGAGCGCGACAGAATGACGACGAGCGCTATCGCCAACTTGTGTAATTCCAATCTAAACCTACAACGCCTCCTCAAGCGGGGCGGGCGGGCGGCGCCGTGGCTCTGCAAGTCCTCCTCAAGTCCCGCGAGTCGCACGGAGAGGTCGCGAACGCGTCCAGCGGCCGGCCGGCCGCGGCTGCTATACAGGTCTGAGCGGCTCCGGCACCGGCTAAGCCGACCGGCCAGGCTCCACGTGAAGCCCACGTGCCCTCCCTCTCCCACTCCGCGGTGCTCCTCGCGGGGTCCCTGGCCTGGCCCGCGGAGTCGCGGGTACGATTCCCCCGCTTAGCAGGTAGCTGCCCCGCGCGGTGCCCCGCTCCCGCTGGTCTGTGCCGCGGGTGCCCCTTGGCATTCGCAAGCCTGCTGCCACTGTACTGTACTGTACGACGGGTTGCCTAGACTGCAGCGTGGGCTCCCCCGCCTAGGCCAAGCCTAGACCAACGCCTAGGCCAGAGCGCTAGCCGCCGAGGCGGTGCCCGCGGCCCGCGCTGCCTGGGCTCGGCCGGGCTGCGGCAGGACGGGCTCAGCCCGACCTTGACCCGCGCCAGGCCAGGCCCGCCAGGCCCCTCCGCTTCCCCTTCCCGCCCAGCCCCGCCCGGGCTTCGGCAGGCCCGCCCCCGCCCCCTGTCTCGCTCGCTCCGGGCGAGGTGAGGCGGGGCGGGGCGGGCGCGGCGGGCTGCGGGGACAGGTGCAGTAGGGGAGAGCACGTGCAGGACACAGCCCCTGGGCGGGGGCCAGGCTGCCTCTGGTCCTCGACGCGGCTGTGCGGGCCGGGCCCCGTCAGAGTCTCTGGCTCGCGCGCCCTGTCCTGTCCTCGCCGAGGTCCTCACCGGGGTCCTCGCGGGCCCGAGCTCATTGATCGCCGCGGAGCCAGCGGCAGCGCCAGGGACGAGCGCGGGCCGCGGAGCGGGCGGGAGGGGGCGTTCCGTCGCGCCGCGCCGGCGCGGGTGCAGGCCGCTTGTGAGCGCAGCTAGTCAGCTGACTTTGCCACCTAGCCTCGCCCCCGGGTCCCGGTCGCAGGCCGCGGGCCGCGGGCTTACCTCGCGGTCTTGCGGGGCGGGGCGGGGTGCATGGGTGCCTCTAATGGTCGGGCTGGGGCAGGCCACGCGCCTCGCCCCCCGTACTCGGCCGGCGTGCGGGTCTGGGTCTCGTCTGCTTGAGCCGCTTTGCGGTGTGCGCAAATGCCCCTCGGGTGCCTGCCAGTCTCCTCCCCTTGCAGACGCCCGCTCTACGTCGTAGGTTAGGGCGTCACGGGTTCGCCTGCGAGGGGCGCCGCCGCCGGCGCCCTCGGAGTAAATAAATAAAAACAGAAGGCGAAAATAGGGGATTGGTTTAGTAGGGTGGCCAGAATTGTGCCAGCAGGGCCAGGGCGGGGGGCGGGCCCAGAAGGGAACAGGTACTTTCTCTGAACCCTTGCCAGACCGCCGCCTGCCCTACTGCTGTTGCTTGTCAGCCTTGAAATTTTAAATTTAGCACAATGGCTGAGGCTCCCCCCCGTTTCTCCTCAACGGGAACAGGTGTTCGCCTTTCGCGAATGCATCCCCCGACGGACGCCACCTCGGACGCAGCACGTCTTCGTCTTATCTCCCATGACATGGCTGAAATGGACCACTTTAACTAAGGTTGAGACGCTCCCGCTTCTAAGACGCGACTGATTAGTCACTTGTGTCAACCACGAAAAAAGGCGGGGAGGAATGCACCGGCTGGCCAGCTAGCAGTCAGCCAGTCTTCGATTGGAATCGGTGGCATTATTTGGCTCTCGACTGAAACCGTGTGCGTGGCCTCCCTGCTGCGTTGGGCTACTGCTCCACTATTCGGGGCGGCACGCGGTGAAGGTCAGAAGTTACGAGTTCACGGGCCCAAAGGGCAGGGTTCAGTTCAGTTCACCCTCCGCACCGCATGCCTCGCCAAGGGCGGCGCCCGCGACCTCTCGCGATGCAGCTGCAGGACCACGCGGGCCGGGCTACACGTTCCCGATGTCCCGGGGGAGGGAAGGCCCATAGGGCGCCTCACCGCGCTCGGCTCGAGACCAGTCACTTTTCGGTGCGTGTCGTGCTGACTGTTTTTCTCGTGGGAAAAACGTTATTACGGGCGAGGGAGGGGGGGGGGGCTTTGGCGACCACCCCCTTTGGCTCTTCCCCGCCGGGTGGAACAAGATGGGTGAATTTGCGAATTGGCAGAGAAAAAAGCAAAAGATTTTTAACGACGAAATGTTTATAAAGCGACTTATTCCTCCCTTTTCTTCTAATTCTTCAGCCGCCCTATAGGCCAAATAATATACAGCATTCCGGCGAAGCTGAAAAGAAGAATAGTTCGGGGAACAACAGCAACATGGTGACTGCTGTTTTCTTGTTCTCTGCATTTACCAGCTTTACCGGAATGGTTTATTGTGTGAACGTGTGAAGACCACAACGCCGCCATCAACGGCCACTGCAGCGGGCCGGGCGGCAATAGTTGGCTCACTTAGAGCCCGTGCTACATCGGGCCGCGACATCGCGGAGGCCATGCCAAGGGCCCCAGGCGCAGGGGGGGGGGGCTAAAGGGAACCACGGGGGGAAAGGCGGGGGTGCATGCAAGGACCCCGGATGCACGCCCCACTGGGGTCCACAGGTCCACTACCCCAACCGCCAGGATCTGATGACCCTACCCTCCGGACCCGAGAGGGAAGTCGAGGACCGCCAGGTCGGCGCGGTGCAAGTGCCCTACAACTAGTGACCCGCGGGCCGCGGGGAACGTCCCGTGCCGAGCCGACTGACCGACTCCGGCAGCGGACGGCAAGTTCCGACTTCGTCCGCCAGATGGCAGCATAGACAAGACATCGCTGCGGCGTAAGAGGTTCGACGGTCGGGCGGTAGATGGCAGCGCGGGTGGTGCCGCGTTTGTGTGAGTTTAGGGGGAAGCGCTGCCAACACACTAATCTGAAAAGAGTTCGTTTCTGGACGGTGTTTGGCGTCTGTGACCGTCTATGACAGTATATTACAAATAATACACACGCACTGTCAAATTGATTGCAACAGCGTGAAGTGGCTCTTTCAGCATGGAGCTAATTATTTGGGACTTGGCTTATGTAGAGCAACAGCGTTTGCTTCCTCTCTAAAGGCACCTTGAAACGGCCTTCAGTTTTAAGTGCTTGAATAAAGCCGCTTCTCTTTTTTCAGAAATACTGAAATTTCTTCAGAAAAATTATGGCTCATGAGAGCAATTTTTTGCACTGGATTCTGGATAGTCTACACTGTTGAATGTGGTCGTTTGTATCAAGCATTGCTTCTCATCTGGGGATGTAGCTCAGTGGTAGAGCGTTCGCTTTGCATGTGAAAGGCCCCGGGTTCGATCCCCGGCATCTCCAGAAATTTTTTTGTCTGCTTCCCCATGCACGCATTTATTTTGGCAGGTGCTCATATCGATTGGGCGAGACCTTGTGATGCTGGTTTCGCAACGGTTTCTCAAATGGTCCATGTCGTAGCAGAACTGGGTTCGGCACTGGATGTGTTGGCCAAACGCAGCCACCCGCAGTTCATCCACAATCTCGTCAGCCAACTGACCAGTAAGTAATGTCCGTCAATCATGGAAAATTCTGTCGAGGATAACAAATTCTCACACATCACGGTTTACTTTCCAAAGAAACACCCGCCCCCTGGTTACCCCGCTACGAGGTGATGCTGTACTTGACCATGGGAGAGCGAGCTGCTGCCGCTGTCCTGGCTGGCTTCGCGCGCAAGGTCTTCCCTAAAGACTCCCGCTACGTCGTAACGAGGCTATCACAAATAGCGTCCCTCTCAGAGATGTACAGATCGGTACGTTATCGATCACTGGAGGAGAGGTGATAATGTAATATAGAAAGGTATTTTTGTGTCTGAATAAATCACATGGTCACTGTCTTTTTCAGAAACTAGAGGCTGGAAATTTTGCCAGTGGACCAGTATTTACAGTAAGTAATGCAATGCACTCTCAAGTGATAATTGAATCAAGATAATGAGTTAATTGAGTTTTCATTAAGTTTCAATTGCAGGCAGCCACAACTAGCATATTGGAAATAGTGAAAAACTTATGTAGATTCCTTCCTGGAAACTACAGTCCTGTGTCCCTTTTGCAACAAGTAACAATTCAAACTTTTTTCTTGTCCTACAATGTGGGTACGTATTTGTTATCCTGCTGTTTTAAAACATTTTTCTTAAGAATTTTAGTTTGAAAAATTAGGTTTTTATTTTCCTTTTTTAGGTGGAGATGAATTTTCAACTAGAGTCATGGCTTCTTTGGATGCAGTCCTTACTTACTATCAATAAGAGTAGATACAGAACTTTAATAGCTTTTAAATCTCTTTTATCAATCTTGATTTATTGCCCACACTTTTTAATGAACTGATGAACTTATTTATGGTTAATTTTAAGTTAGTCGAAGTGTTTATTCCATAGATTAATTTATCTGCAGTATTTTACTTCTGTGATAGCTCCTGACAAGTTCAAGATACCTGTAAGCTCAAAGTACCTGAGTAGCATAGAAGAGGAATTTATTTATATATTTTAAGTAATTTATTCTATTTTATGTCACCTGACTCGGCAAGAGTTTATTTCAAACCCTTTTATTTGCTTAATTGAATATGTACGAATTTATGTGGTTTATTTATTGTAAAGAACAGTAAAAAATATTTACAGCCAAAGCTGCTCATAAATAAAGCAGAAAAAATCAATTGTAACAATACATCATGTTTATTAATATTTCTCAGTCATATTGTAAGTAAGGTACAGGGAGAGTACAGAACAAACACGATCTTCAAACCCTTCCAGATTATGGCGGCGCCAAAAGTAAGACAGTTTGCAGTTACAAACTCTTAAACAATACAGAAGAAATAATGCAGCAATAAACACTAATCGCTGTAACAGGGAGATGAATGACACATGGATGTCCGATCAAAGCTTTGCTACTTTTGAGCAATTACATACAACTTGTTCTAGATCTAACATAACAACCTACTCAATTTAATGTCCTAAACTGGATTTATATGTGATTAGAATCTGGCAATACACAAGGCTATGTATGCTAACTTCATGGATCAATAAGTGAAAAGGCAGTTTTTACTCTGCCTTCAGAATCTCTATTTCTAATAATTCATTTAAAATTTTATCGATACCAAACATTCTGGGACATCCATGCCCACCGAAGATACAACAATGATCACAAAGCATGAATGAAAATGACAATTAAAGGCATGGTTCAAATTCTTACTCCCTCAGGATAGTGTTTGAAAATGCAAACTGAACCTCAAATCATAGTTCAGAAAAATATCATGGCAAATTGCCTATTAGAAAACGTCAACAATATGGCAACAACCACCAGACAACATATAGCTGGTAAAAATCACGGTTTAGCAAATAACAATTTCAAAACAATTGAAAGTTTTGACGGTTTAACAATCATTAGAAAAACTCAACTTTGAAAATAGAGGATATAGCCACAACTTGCTTAAAACAGTAGAGTATGGTAACTGGTTCACCGCTTCGCAGCCGCCAGCCTAGCGTTCTGCTTCCAGTCTTTTCATTCAGGAATCACATTATAACCAAAGACCGACAGCTTGACGAGATAGCGGCCTCCCACCCACACAAAAAAATAGAAAAAAGGGTAAACACATTCAACCATAAATAAATACCATTAATGAAAAATACTTTGGTGATTTCATTTGTGTCTTACAGTATTTTTTTCCTTTTATACCTTGAGGCCGAACAGGCTAGAAAAATGAGCATGCAAAAAATAGTCTTCACAATTTCCCAGACGAAAACAAAAATAAGAAAAAACGGAGAAAACGGGAGATGATCACTGCAGCGAGCAGCAAATGCCGCCACAGGGGACACCGGGGCTTTGGCCCTTGAGCTGTCTCAGCAGGTACGCTGATTTGGCGGCGAACTCCTCCGCCTGAGCCTGCATGTCCTTGGTCGGGGTGTGGTGTTCGTCCCCTGATTCGTCCGAGTGCACGCCCGAATCGTGCTGATCACAGAGGGCACCCCTTTTCTCTGGCGACATGGACGACCTAATGCTGCGCTTCACGTCCACGTCGTGCCGGAGTTCGAGCGCCACGACGGCCGGCATGGTGTCCTGGGGGTCCTCGCCAAGGCGGTAGTACTTGGCCACAAACAAGCTGGGGTCACACAGAGTGTCCCACGCTGCCTCGGGCTCGTCCAGTGAGGCAACCCTTTCCTCCACGTCCGCGCCGCGGCCCGTGCCGGCGCGGGTGGTGCTGCTGGTGCTGCTATGAGATGATGCACGGAAAGGGTTGCCTATCGCGTTTTTTGACTGCTGCGCATTGTCGTCATCCTCCTCGTCATCCTCGTCGGACTCTGAGTCGGAGACCGCGACGTGCTCCACGGCGGGAACCAACACCTCTTCGCTCTCGTGGTCCCGGAGCCACGCTGTCACAGCCTCGGTGATGCGCAGCGGTGACTCGCGCTGCTCCGCCTGCTCGACCGCGGGCGCCGTCGTGGTCGTGGCCGCGGTGGCGGCCAAGGGCGACACGAAGATGACCGTCTCGCCCTCGTCGGCCTCGTCGGACGAAGAGAGCGACGAGGAGCTGGCCGTCAGCTCGCGCCCGGGCGTGGGTGCTCGCTCTTTCTGCCGCCACTTCTTGGCCCGGTTAGGGCGGTGCGCTGTGGACGGCGTCAGCCTGCTGCCCTTGGGCTCAGTCTGGGGTTCCGCGGCCGGGAGCACAGGCTGGGGCTCGGCCTCCACGGCCTCAGCCTCGAGCCTTGGCGCGACCGGGGTGGGGGCGGAGACGGGGGACTCCAACTCCACGGGAATGTCGACTTTGGTCTCGGCGCTCTGGGCGCTCTTCACCGAGCCGACGAGTGCCTGCAACAGGACGTCGTCGACGGGTCGCACTTTGGTCTCGATCTTCCTGCCCCACGCGATGGACGGCTCCGGCCTCAGCGAGAAGCCCAGGTCGTCCGGAACGGACGTCGGTGTGGAGCTGGTCGGCGAAGGCTCTGGGGGCGGCGGCGGTGAAGCCATCACGCCGTTGGCACTGCCAGCTTTTGAGCTGAGATCAGTCTTGGCAGGTGCTCCCTTCTTTGATTTTCTCTTCGCTGACTTGGCCTCCTTGGTCCTGGAGACGGGTTCGCTCTTCGTTTGTGCTGGAGTCGACTTGCCGTCTTCCTTTCCTCTCCCTGCAGCAGAGTCTGTAACATCATCCCCCGAGGGAGACTCACTTAACCTGCTAGCCTTTTCGGCAAACCCATTGGACTCCCGATGGTCTGGACTAGAATTGTCTCTTATTTTCTTAACTTTACCATTGGTTGCATTTACAATTTTATCACCATTCACTGTTCCTTCATTCACAGCATTTTTGTTTTGAATTGCCTTCCCCTTTTGCTTAAGATCATTTTTGTTATTAAAAATAACATCGAATGTTTCTGTCCTCTGCACAGATTTATCCTTCCCAGAATCACCTGAGATCTCAATACATGTAGACAATGTAGTCTGGGGGTTGGATTCCACAGCCTCCTTAAAACATATCACTTCCCCGTTACACACGGGCAATTTCAATGAGCGTTCAAACTCTGGGACGTCCTCTTTTGGATTCACAGCCCCACCGTTCACAAGAGGGACAGAAGACACTGCCTTCACTGCCTTCTTTGACACACATGGCACATCGCCGTTGACTTTAGGCGCACTGTGCTTCTCCTGCTGAACTTCGTTCTTTACCTTCTCGGCTACAGCCACTACTTCTTCCACTGGCTCAGGTCGTTGCTCGGGCTGCAGTTGCGGTGCCTCGACAGGGGCTAGTGATGTCGGGGGGATGATGGCTGATGCTTCAGTGGGGAGTGACTGAGGCTCGTCAGATGTCTCAGCCTCAGCTGGTAACGCCTGTGCGCTCGCTGCGCTCGGTGATGATTCGGTTGATGTCTCTGCTGTTGTATTCGCAGACAGTACCGACTCTGGTTCGAGTGAAGCCTCTTCCTGGGCGGCTGCTGGCGTCTCTGCAGCCCGCTCCTCTGGTGTGGTGATGGAAGTCGCCTCCGTGAGGGTAGGGGTGGCGGGAGCCTCGGCGGTTGTGGGCGGAGGTGGTTCAGCGGCTTCGACAGGGGCTGGTGTGATTGTATGAGTCGGTAGCTCGTCCTCGATGGTCGTGAAGGACCCCTCCTTGTGTTCGTGGGAGGATACTTCAGACGGCAGGACCAGGATCTCCTTGTCCTCCTGGCGGCACGGCTCTGTCTGCGCGCACGCCGTAGGGGTCTGCGGTGGCGTCAGGATGCTGGGCTCCCAGGCCGACGCGTCGCCGTTGAGCGTCGAGGCAGCGACCGTGGCCGGGTCGACCGCCTTGGGCACGAACTCGGGGAAGGCGTCGCTGTCGGTCGGCGTCGCCTGCGAGTCCTCCAGCGACTGGCTGCTCAGGCTCGAGGGGCCTGCCTCGCCCTCCTCGAGCTGGTTGTCCTCCGAGCTGGACTCCTCGGAGCCGTCGTCAGTTCCCTGATGGGTCAATCACAAGGCATTAGCGTCGCCATTAGAGTCGAAGCCAAATCAATTTGAAAAGAGTTTGTTTTTAATTTGTATATTTTAGCAATTCCTGAAATTCGCTAAATAGGTACTCACCCCTCCTCGCCTCCTCTTCCTCCTGCGCTTCTTCTTGCGCCGCTTGTTGACCGCGTTCACATCACAGACAGGTCCGTACGGGGGTCCCCCTTGCACCGACACTCCTGCAACAAAAGGGCGAGGGGGGCGCGTGAGTGTGAGTAAGACTCGCAGGACCCCCCGCTGCAGCACCGGCAGCAGCAGCAGCACGCCACCACCACCACCTGGAACACACACTCTTGCCTCTCGCTAAATATAACGTCGCGCGCCGCCGCCTGTCACACGACGGGGCCCCGCCGCGGCCGCCGCGGTCCACAATGACATGCGTGGGACCAGCGGGACACCTGCCCCCACCCCCCGGGAGACGCACTCAACTACTCTGACTGCTTCTCGGGCGGCTGCTGCTGCGTCTGCTGGCGGCTGCTGGCTGCCTCCCCCCTAAACCCTTCACATTCCACCGCGTACACAGACCGCTGCACTCACCCGCACACACACCCCCAAGGCCGCGGAGGAGAGCATCGCCCAGTTCAATTTAACCCGCCGCTGCACCGTCCATCCCTGGCCCCTCCTGTCTGGCAGCGGCCCAACGACGCCTCCGCCGCCCGCCGCGCCGCTCCATCCCCTTCGCCCAAGTAAAACGAGCCCCAATAGTAAAAAACCGAGATTAAAACTCTTCTTTGCGGGAAGCAGACGGGCCGAGTCACCTTACACGTCGTCCCGCGAGCGGTCGCGGTCACGGCGCACTCCCAACCCTCCGCGCCGCCGGTGAATAACCCAACCAACCAACGGCCAGCTCAATAAAAAAACAGCCGCCCATTAAACCTCACACCCACCCCGGCTCGGCGCGCGAGAGCGATCGCGTCAGACGAGGAGCACTACGGCAAGCTGAGAGAGAAGAAGGAGAAGAGAGAGAGCTGAACTACTCGTATAATAACGCATGCACGCGGAGCAGACAGGTGGGGAGAGCGAGAGGAGAGCCGGGGGAGGAACGGAATGAAGGAAGAGCAATCTTGGTGTAGTACAGACCCGAGCAGCTCGGCGCAGCAGGCGCAGCAGCAGGTCCACCCGGGTCCAACGGCGATGTTACTGAGGAGGCCCCGGCGCGGCCCCAGCCCGCTGCACGCAGTGCACACGCACAGAGCGCTGCACTCACACTGGCCGGCCGGCACGAGGCATCCCTCCCTCGCAGCACCGCGCTTGCCAAGAGGACGCGGTGCTACTGCTGCGCCCCTCCGCACCGCTTACCCGAAAAGCCCAATGACTTGCAGTGACGTCATTCGCACGACAAATAATGCCACCCTCCCTTTTCCTCCTCCTCCTCCACCCCTATACCTCCCACGAGACAATTTACGACCCCACGGCCTAATTTAGGGTAGCGTCGGCAGCATGGGGGCGGAGGGGGGCGGAGGGGGGAGATTAGAAGAGGATTCGAGTTGAGACGCGAGAGAAAAGATGAATGATCACCCACGATGAAAAACGCGCTCTGATTGTCGCCGACGATGACAGCCCGCCGTCCTGGCCGGGGACAGGGGGCATTCCGCCCGATCGCCCGCCGACGTCGTTAAGAAAGGCCCATTCCGACACGCACCGCGGACCGCGGATTTATTGAAATAAAAATTGACTCGTTTCTCGCGGACAGAGGCGAGCGAGTGCGCGCAGTGATCCCAGGGATTAAGTTCGCAAAACTATGCGCGGTCCGCTGCCAGCCAGAGCAGCGGCGCTTCTCTTTTGTTGACATGTTAATATTGGCGCGGCTGCGAGGAGGGAGGAGGAGGCGGTCCCACGCCGTGTTCGTCCACCCATCCGGATCCCTCGGGGATACGAGGGGAGGGGGGAGGCGCCACCTGCAGCCGCGGCCAGCTGCGGCCAGCGCGCGTTATAGTTGTATAGAAATGGCGCAGGTGGGGTGGGGGGCTGTGAGGAGGG